CACATGCCAGATGTCAAATACTGACTCAATGGAATGACTACAAAATAAGGTTCCCCACAGGGCACCTGGGTGGCTCAGTCGTTAAGCAGCTGCCTCTGACTCAGGTCATGATCCGGGGGTCCTGGGATTGAGCCACATGTCAGGCTCCCTGCTCAGCGGGGAGTCTGCTTCTCCCTCTCCCTCTGCCTGCTACTCTGCCTACTTGTGCTCTCTGTCAAATAAATAAAATTTAAAAAAATAATAAGGTTCCCCAGGAACCAATGTGAGTGCCAGGTATATTAGCGTCTTTTTTGAAGGATCTGAAAGAATCTACTGTGAAGGCTACAAGTTTGGGGAGCTATACTGTGTTGGGAAGAAGCTGGAGGCAAGGAGCCATGGCAAGAGCCAGAGTATAGAAAGATCTTTCAAGCTCAACAGCACTCGAGTGGGTAGACAAGCAGCAGATAATGGTCATGTAAAAAAAAAAAAAAATACAAGACAATGGGGCGCCTGGGTGGCTCATTCAGCATCTGCCTTCGGCTCAGGTCATGATCTCAGGGTCCTGGGATCGAGCCCCGCATCGGGCTCCCTGCTCATCAGGAATCCTGCTTCTCCCTCTCCTACTCCCCCTGCTTGTGTTCCTTCTCTCACTTTGTCTCTGTCAAATAAATAAAATCTTAAAAAAAAACACAAGATAATGACTTTTAGGGGAAATAATTCACAAAAACCAAGAGCTCTGAGCACTCAAACTCAAAAAGAGAATCCACTGTACTGATGTGGGCCCAAATACCCAACCAAATCAAATGTTAGGTACCACCAAGAAGGATCTCAGAAGCTGTGGAACTAGGCAAATAATTTAGAGGGAGTTAGCTAAAATGGTCACGGCCAGGGCAAGAAAAGATACCACTAAAAAAATAAAACAGAATAAAAGGGCAAACTGAAAGGAGCTGTGACCAAAATCTAGAGGCCAGGGTAGATGTATTTCTTAGAAATACAAAGAAAACATGTTTAGGATGAGAAATTAAACACATTAGCCTGGGAGGAGGTACAGGCACTGAACACACACACACTCCTATAAAGTTGGGTATGTTAGTTAATCCCAGGGTTGTCTGATTAAAAGTTGATTAAAGAAGGTGGTCTATTCAAGGGAGCCACACCCTCCCAAACTTTGTCCCTAGAGACTGGCTGTCCTCCATTTTTAAGCTGGATTCTGCACAGCTAGGAACTGCTCTCCATCTTGCCAAGATTTAGGATGGCTCTCAGCTGGCTGACTGGAACTGGCACAAAGCAGGATCACATAATTGCAGATACGTTACCCTTTTTTCCCCCTTGAGTTACACATGAAAAAAGCAAAACCAGGCATTTTTTTCTTTCTCTTTTTTAGGGGAGGTGGGTGGAAGTAAGGGTGGGACATGGCAATGTGTAGGGAGGAGAAAAATACTGGTGTTGATAGCTCACAGGATTGCAATCAGTAGGTTTAGTTTAACATGTAAAAGGAAAATTAGTATGTTCAAAGGAATGAGGCACTCAAAGGATTGAAATGAGATTTTTCTTTGGTTCCCAGGGACCTGTCCCTGGGCTCTCCAAGGTTAGGTTCCAAAGCTATTCCTTTGGGCTCTGTGACATTCGAAGAATCTCAAAGATTTAGACTCTGGTGCCAGCTGTGCAAGCAGGTGAGTTAGGTCAACAGGTGACATTAGATGTATAAAATTAATTAGACCCAAATCTCTAGACTCAAGGGCAAGACCTGTGTCCAAAAGCCCCTTCTACCTGACGAATCCAGCTGCTGGGCTTCAGTCCAGGCTATCCTCAGACTAGCTCAGAACATGACTGAGTCCTTTCTCCTTCTACTTTTCAAAAGGTTGTTGGAGAATGCAGTCCTCAGAAGGAGGGCCTGGCCTCAGTGGGAGATGCCCAGAGACTGCAGCAGGTGAAAGGTGGCCCCCAAGGCCCAGCCTGTCTCTATGTTGTTCACTTTCTTTGAGAGCTGTTGAGGAGAAAAAAAAAAAAAAGCTCACACTGTCATCAATTTTCAACTCTAGCAAGCATGACACAGGCAGAGAGTATCTACAAATATCATCCACATGGCCAAACCAAGGTAAAATTTGGGGTAGCCAGTCTTGGGAGGCTTCCCACTAGCCCCTCTGTAACAGTTTCCCTCCTGTCATGGCTTACACCTGCCAATCTGGCCTCTGAATCTTCTGGCCCAGGAAGTGGTCTCACCCAGGCCTTCTAGACAGAGGCTTCTGAATTCTTTCCCTAATCCTGGAACTAAATACACGAGGAGTTGGGAATAGATTTAGGGGTAGCAAAGAATATACGAAACTTGTCAATTCATACTCTGTAAACAACCAAAACTTCTTAAGCACTAAGTAATAACCAATCAAAGCATTTAAGGTCTTCTAGACAGGTTGCGCCTCAATTAGTTCAGTAACTTTGGGCAAGTGTTTAGACCTGTCTCCTCCACTACATAACAAACGGATTAGGTATTTATCAAATTGTTTTCTTTAGACTCTTAGGAGTTCCTGAAAGTACTTTGAGGGAGAAAGGGAGGCCAAATGATAAAGGAGTTCCAAGGCCCCCTTCCTCTGCTTCCACCAGACAGCTCCATTTTGATCAGCTTTACCAGCCTTCTGTGTAAGCTTCTGTGGAACGATGCCACCACTGATCACACCACACACAAGTTTGGAAACCAGTGGACTGGATTTAGTCTTTCTTTCTGGGACTAATTTCTTATGATACAATACTCCTGTGGTGACCTGATGAAATCTACATTAGGCACTGTGCCAAAAACTGGGAAGAATGGCATGTGAACGTCACCTTGAGATTTAGTCTGCAGCACATGAGTCAAACTGGGAGTGCCACCCCCACTCCCAAATGCTCCTCTGCCCTGAGGACTGGGCTGACAGCCCGGAGTAAATAAGTTGAAGTGAAGTGACATCTGGGCCAGGGAACTGCCTGTCACTGAATTTAATTCTGCTACCATTGAAATGATAAAGATGAAAAGGATGCCAGCACTGGATAGGGCAGAAAACGGTCTTTAGATGATGCGGTTACTGTTGATCCTTAAGTAGAGGAAGTTAACTTTGTATGTATTAAGGACTTAGGATGACCTTTCTTATCCACAAATCTATCCCCAACTGGTGTGAAATGCCTACACTAATATCGCCAAGACTAATAACTTACTACGTGCCAGCATTGTGCTTTACATACAGTATCTCAATTTTCCTAACAGCTCTATGAAATAGATACGCTAAAGATCCCTAAGTTTGGATGAGAAACCTCAAAGTTAGACAGGGGAAGTAAATCATTTAAGGTTACAGAGCTGGTAAGCTCGCAAACTCAAAACGTGAACCCAGATGTGATGGACAATGGAGCCGTCCTTTAAATATATGTGATACTGTGTCTACTGGCATGTGATTCCTTGTTAAGCACCTTAAATGCCAATATTCTTATCGGACAAACGCGTTAAATCCAAATACCTCAGTGCAAAGTTTATGAGTTTACAAAATCTGTGCCACACAAGAAAGGGGGCAATGTAAACTCATCTGGAAGTGGGGAAGCAAGAAGGGGAAGTGGCACGAGCAAGGGCACTTCAAAAGCAAAGTAGAGTCTACCTACTTGACCCCAGAGTTCAAAGTTGCCTGTGCCATACTTGTATTCCCTTTTTTATTATGTTATGTTAATCACCATACATCATCAGTTTTTGATGTAGCATTCCATGATTCACCATATTTGTATTTCTGTCACATCTCCTCTAAGAGACTATATGCTATTTGAGGATAAGACCGTATCTTAATTATCTTTGTAACCATAATGTACAGTTATCCAATTGTGGTACAGAAGACAACAAAGTAAATGGGGTGGACGGAACATAAAAGATGTGTTTAGAATAGATAATTTCCTACAGATCAAGTGGAGCCTGCATGTGCTGAAAAGGATGGACAGAACAGGAAGACAAAGAGGGACCCAAGATTCAAGGGACACTAAACATATGAGACACACATAAAATACATAAGACCGGGCGCCTGGGTGGCTCAGTCGGTTAAGCGACTGCCTTTGGCTCAGGTCATGATCCTGGAGTCCCGGGATCAAGTCCTGTATCAAGCTCCCTGCTCGGCAGGGAGTCTGCTTCTCCCTCTGACCCTCCCCCCCTCATGTGCTCTCTCTCTCAAATAAATAAAATCTTTAAAAAAAAAAAAGGGGGCGCCTGGGTGGCTCAGATGGTTAAGCATCTGCCTTCGGCTCAGGTCATGATCCCAGAGTCCTGGGATCGAGTCCTGCATCGGGCTCCCTGCTCCTTGGGAGCCTGTTTCTCCCTCTGCTTCTCTCTCTCTCTCCCTCTGTCTCTCATGAATAAATAAATAAAATCTTTAAAAAAAAAAGATTCTAAAATACATAAGACATACTACAAATACACAAGGCATTCAACACTATTGAGAACTTGAATAAGCCACTCACTGGTGACACCCTTTTGTCCTCTGCCAAATAAAACCATCTAATGGGCTAATGAGTGTACCTGCCCCTGTGCCTCTCCAAATTGAGCAAATCTGTCCGATGGCCACAGGCACCTTCTGTCCCTGTACCCCCTTGATCAGCTCTAGTACTTATAACTACACTATCAGCAGCAGAGAGAGAGAGAGGCAGGACATATGAACCCAGGATTTAAGAAGTATGGCACTTCCAACCTGCCTGCACCCTATCCTGTGTGTTCCTAACCCATTTCTTCCCTTTGCTTCTTGCCCTGAGTTTTAAATTTGCTTTAATAAACCATGTGACTTGGGCACCTTGATGGATGTAAGCCTTTCTGCTCTGTGACCCCTGGGATAGCGTGCCTGGGAATACACTTAGAAGCTACCATTACATCAAGCTAATTTCCCACATTCATGGTATCTTGCACAGCACTTTGCCCACATCCCTAATAAAAACCCCGCATAATTCCACCTGCAGCCACTCTAATTACTACACAAGTGCTTTTCCTAATTCCGAGAGAAGTGGACCGTTTTGTGATTCTCTCTTACCTGTAAGATGGTACTGTCTGCAAAGCCAAAGCCGTCCTTCAACAGGGCTGTGATGTAACTGAGATCCATGCACAGGAAAGGACTGCCTGAGGTGAAGTTTTCCAAGTTATCACACACTGAAAGGGAGGAAGAGTGGAATCCAAGCTTGCAGCCAACTGGCAGGCGTACGATTTCCTCTTAACATAGACTTAGGATAAGCAAAGCAGAATTCTCCATGTGGTTGATGCCTGGGAGTCGTGACGACTAGAACTGTGTGCACTGACAGCCCCCGCAAGACCACAGCCTCTTGCACATTTCAGACATCCCATCTGGTGTCACTGGTGTCACCAGTGAGTGGCTTATTCAAGTTCTCAATAGTGTTGAATGCCTTGTGTATTTGTAGTATGTCTTATGTATTTTAGAATCTTTTTTTTTTTTAAGATTTTATTTATTTATTCATGAGAGACGGAGAGAGAGAGAGAGAAGCAGAGGGAGAAACAGGCTCCCAAGGAGCAGGGAGCCCGATGCAGGACTCGATCCCAGGACCCTGGGATCATGACCTCAGATGGACCTGGGATCCTAGTTTATTTATTTTATTTTATTTATTTGTCAGAGAGGAAGAGGGCACAAGCAGGGAGAATGGCAGGCAGAGGGAGAAGTAGGCTCCCCACTGAGTAGGAAGCCCCATGTGGGACTCGATCCCAGGACCCTGAGATCATGACCTGAGCCAAAGGCAGACGCTTAACCGACTGAGCCACCCAGGTGCCCCTGGGATCCTAGTTTATTTGCTAAATTTCTATAACCTATTGTTGGGGCTTAATTCAACTAAGTCCCTTATATATTATTAATATTGAGGCCCAGAAGACCAGGAAATACCAGTTAGCCCTACTTTGGGGCCCATGGCTAAGATCATTTATTTGTATTTCCAGGAACTCTCTCAAGCAGGCCTCTGTGGCTATTTCCCATATATTTTGGTGCTCAGTGTTTCATTAACACTGATAACACTATTTCAATTTTTTTTAAAAAACGAAGACCACCACACATAAAAATAAACTCAAAATAGATTAAATACCTCAATGTGAGACCTGAAACTATAAAACTCCTAAAAGAAAATAGGCAGTAATCTCTTGGACATCAGCCTTAGCAACATATTTATGGATATATCTCCCCAGGCAAGGGAAACAAAAGCAAAAATAAACTATTGGGACTACATCAAAATAAAAAGATTTTATACAGCAAAGGAAACCATCAACAAAATAAAAGGGCAACCTACTGAATGGGAGATGTTTGCAAATGGTATGTCCGATAGGGGTTGATATCTAAAATATATAAAGAACTTACACAACTCAACACCAAAGAAACAATCCTATTAAAGAAATGGGCAAAGGCACTACATTTATGGTAACTTGTTATCACAGCAATAGAAAACTGATACAACTTTTCTTTAGTGACTAATATTTAGACATTAATTTTTGAATATAAAATGTTAATAATTTTTAGGACCATTTTATATGCTAGTGTTATTAACCTTTACCTATTTTATATGCTACAAATAATGTCCCCAAGTTTATTATTCCACCCATTAACTTCGTAGATGATGTCTTCTCCCATATGCAAGGTTTGTCAACCTTCAACTTCTACCATCATTTTTAACGCATTCTCAATCTTGAAACTTGTCTAAAGAATAATTTAATTTTAGGGATGCCTGGGTGGCTCAGTCAGTTAAGCATCTGCCTTCGGCTCAGGTCATGATCCCAGGGTCCTGGGATTGAGTCCCGTATCAGGCTTCTTGCTCAGCAGAGAGTCTGCTTCTCCCTCTAGTTGCCACTCCCCCTGCTTATGCTCTCCCCTCCCCCAAAATAAATAATTTTTTTTTGAAGTGAAGTGAAAGTTTATTAAGTGAAGGTGAGAACAGAAAGGAAAGAAAAAAAGCTCTCTAGAGTGAAAGGGGTCCTGAATGGGTTGCCCTAAATAAAATCTTAAAAAAAAAAATCTAATTTTATTTTATTTTTTAAAGATTTTACTTATTTGTCAGAGAGAGAGAGCATAAGCACAAGCAGGGGGAAGAAGCAGGGCAGAGGGAGAAGCAGGCTCCCTGCTGAGCAAGGAGCCAGACGTGGGACTCAATCCCAGGACGCTGGGATCATGACATGAGCTGAAGGCAGACGCTTAATCTACTGAGCCACCCAGGTGTTCCAGAATAATCTAATTTTATACACATGTATTTATACTTTCATATAATAATTTTCAAATGTTTCAAATTTATGTTTTAGGGGTGCCTGGGTGGCTCAGTCAGTTAAGCGTCCAACTCTTTTTTTTTTTTGGTAAGTATAAGCGTCCAACTCTTGATTTCCACTCAGGTCACGATCTCAGGGTTGTGAGATCGGGCCTTCGTTGGGCTCTGCACTGGGTGTGGAGCCTCCTTAAGATTCTTTCTCTCCCCCTCTTCCTGTGCCCCACCCTCCTCTCTTCCCTCCCTCCCTAAAAAATAAAAATAAAATTGATGTTTTAATATTTCATGCAATACGTGAATTGTACAAAAAAGTATAATTTGCTTACATTAGCCACTGCAGGAAATAAATCTTAACTATTTGGAAAAAAAAAAATGGGCAAAGGACCTGAATAGACATTTTTCCAAGGAAAACATGCAGTGGCCAACAGACACATGGAAAGATGCTCAACATCACTCATCATCAGGGGAATGCAAATCAAAACCACAATAAGGTATCACCTCACACCAATCAGAATGTCTAGTATCAAAAAGAAAAGAAATAACAAGTGTAGGTGAGGATGTGGAGAAAAGGGAACCCTTGTGCCGTGCAAACTGGTGCAGCCACTGCGGACAACAGTATGGAGGTTCCTCAAAAATGAAAAATAGAAATACCATATGAGTGAGGTCAGATGATACATGTCTTTCTCTGATTGACTTACTTCGCTCAGCATAACACCCTCCAGTTCCATCCATGTCATTGCAATTGGCAAGATCTCATATGTTAAGAAAAAAAAAAAGACGATAGCAGGAGGGGAAGAATGGGGGGGGGAAATCGGAGGGGGAGACAAACCATGAGAGACGATGGACTCTGAAAAACAAACTGAGGGTTCTGGGGGGGGTGGGAGGATGGGTTAACCTGGTGATGGGTATTAAAGAGGGCATGTTATGCATGGAGCACTGGGTGTTATACGCAAACAGTGAATCATGGAACACTACATCAAAAACTAATGATGTAATGTATGGTGATTAACATAACAATAAAAATTAAAAAAAAAACACGGGGAAAAAAAATACCATATGATCCAGTAATTCTACTACTGCCTATTTACCCCAAGAAAATGAAAATGCTAATTCAAAAAGATGTAAGCTCCCCTGTGTTTATTACATTACTTATAATAGCCAAATTATGGAAGCAGCCCAAGTATCCATTGATAGATGAATGGATAAAGAAGACGTGGTGTGTATGTATACATAATGTACATTATACATACATTGTATAATATGTAATATACATATCATTATATATTATGTATACACACACATCTTCTATACATATGTATACATAATACACACACACACACACACACACAATGGAATACTACTCAGCCATAAAAAAATGGTACCTTGTCACTTGTTATGATGTGGAAGGATCTAGAGGGTGTTATGTTAAGTGAAGTTCAGTCAGACAGAGAAAGACAACTACCATATGATTTCACTTATACGTGGAACCCTCCCCAAAAACGAAACAAATGAACAAAGAAAAAACCAGACTCTTAAATAGAACAACTGGTGGTTGCCAGAGGGGAGACGGGTAGGGGGATGGGAAAAATAGGTGAAGGAAATTAAGAGGTACAAACTTTCAGCTGTAAAATAAATAAGTCAGAGATGGAAAGTACAGCATAGGGAATACAGTCAGTAACATTGTAGTAATATTGTATGGCGAAAGATAGTGACTATATTATCATGCCGAACACTGGGTAATGTATAGTCAAATCTATATGTTGTACACCTAAAACTGATATAACATTGTATGTCAATTATACTTCAATAGAAAAAAAAAGGAAGGAAGAAAGAAATGTAGAAAGAAGAAAAGGTTTTCACCATCTCCCCAAAGCCTCTTTTATTCCCATGGATTTCTATGCCACTTAATGCTTTTAATTCCGGGCAAAAACAGGAAACCAGCCTTCTGGGAGGCTTTCTGCTGACTGCAGTGCTTTGGGTCACTTTCAGGTCACTGCAGTTCGCAGGCACAGATGCATGGACTCGCCTTCATGGGCTTCCACTGGCACTTACCTTCCCTTGCTTTTCTTTCAAAATCTTCAACTTTTAAAACACCCCCTGTTTCATAATCTAAAATGAAACAGTAGCTAATGTCAAAAAACCTTCAAGGAAACAAGGAAATTCATCTTAGTGCTATTTATAATAATGAAAAACTGGAAGTAAAATTTCTAACATTACAGAATGGGCTAAACAAACATGACATAGCCATATAATATAATCTATGTAGACTATTTTATTAATAATTATTCCATGTATATTTAACCACAATAAAAAAATTCACCTGTTATAAAAATAGAAAATAGGATATTAATTCATATCTCAGGCCATCACAGATCACACACATACATTCACAGCTAACAAAAAGCATTACTATTGTGATAAGGAAATAAAAGTTATCAAGGGGGAGTAAGAAACTTTTTGGGGTAATGGACATATTATTTGACTTTGGTGATGGCTTAATGGGTATACACCTATGTCAAAACTTAGTAAATTGTACACTTTAAACATATTTTATTTTATATCAGTTATACCTCAATAAAAATATAAAAAAATAGACTTCATATGTGTCTCTTTATGCTACTTTCTAGCAAAAGATTCTAAATCATATTCACCCTTCCACTGCAGCAATTATCATTCAACAGCCAGCAATGGAGAAGAGTAGTGTGATCACTTATGACAAAGCATTTCAAATGCTCCTCTTCTCCCAGGAGAGCTTTGCCCAGTTCCCTCCCCAGGCTGATTCCTGGAGTAAACTTACCAATCATGTCCGTGTCAACAGCACGATCATAATAGTACGAGAAAGCGTAGAAGGAGCTCTTCTGGACCTCCTCTGGCTGGTGAAGTTTTCCTTGGACCACCCTCAGCACTTCAGCGTAGCAGGGCTCAAAGCCCATCTCTCCTGCCATGGCAAAGGTGAGAAAAATGAAAGCTCGCTGAGGCAAGCTGTCAGGAGCCAACAAAGAAACAGGAGGATCAAGGAAAGCAGAATGTTGAGGCTCAGGACAAAGGGCTGACAAAGATGAACAAACTTCCATAGCCCTGTCACTCTGGAGGAAAGGCACCTGCTTTCCCATGGCAGCTTCCCTCCTGAACCTGTGTTCACCAAAAATAGCTATATCCAACTCAAGCTGCTGCCTAGCCTATGTCCTATGGTATTTATAAGCATCCAGAAGTCTCACTGCTTCCTTCACTGGAAAAATTTAGATTTTTCCTTGATATTAAGGTCTTTGCTTTTTATAATACCAAGATGAATTATTCTTTCTAATGTCTCGGTTTTAAATGTTACTATAATTTAAAAAAGTTAAACATTACTGGAATCTATAGTTTCTAGACAGAGTTTCTCTTTGCGGAGGGCAGAGACCCTTAAAGCATTAGACCCAGGTTAAGAACAGGTTTCTAGGGAGCAAGATGGCGGAGGAGTAGGAGACCTAGATTTCGTCTGGTCTCAGGAATTCAGCTGAATAGGGATCAAACCATTCGGAACACCTATGAACTCAACAGGAGACCGAAGAAGAGAGTAGCAACAACTCTCTGAACAGAAAAGTGACCACTTTCTGGAAGGAAAAGAAGAAGATAACAGGAGAGGAAGAAAAGGGGAGTATGTCAGAGGGGGAGACGAACCATGAGAGATGATGGACTCTGAAAAACAAACTGAGGGTTCTAGAGGGTAGGGGGGTGGGGGGATGGGTTAGCCTGGTGATGGGTATTGAGGAGGGCACGTTCTGCATGGAGCACTGGGTGTTATGAACAAACAATGAATCATGGAACACTGCATCAAAAACTAATGATGTAATATATGTTGATTAACATAACAATAAAAAAATTAAAAAAAAAAAAAGAACAGGTTTCTAATGGATCCACAACACTTGGACAGGGAAAGAGCAGGACAGAGGGATGGTTGCCTTGTTCGCTGTCATTTCACATTATTCCTCTACTGCATACCAAGATCTATTTGGAATGAGTCCCCGCAAAAGACAAGCTTGTCTTGAGTTCTGGAAAACATTTCCCATGGAACTTTTCTGGACTTCTACTGTAAAGGTAATTTCAACCAGTGAAAAAACATCGCTTGCCTTCTTTGTTGCCACCATACTGGTATTTCACACCCCCAAAGATCCACTCCGCTTCCAACCATCTCGGTAGACAGGCACTTCGGAAAGTGTGTCCATCAATCCCTGAAAGAAGCCAGACCACAGAGTAAGAGGCAAGGATTTGAGAGAGGGTGTGTGCAAGAGTGAGAGAGACACATGCACGCATGCACACATCCATGCAAGCAAGAAGCCAGTCAAGTTAAAAGGAATTACCAAAAAGTAGGTAGTTCCATGACTTCACCCTATGAATTCTTAACTCAGGGTTCACAGATGGGCTTTGTGGGGTTGGTGAACCCTCTAAAACTACAGATAAATTGTTGTGCATCTGTGCATTTGGCAGAGGGGTCCATGGCTTTCATCACATCTCAAAGAAATCCAAAACTTACAATGGAATAAGTTCCTTCCTGCCTAAAAAAAGGGAAAAAATACTATTCTACTTTTCTCATTGGTTGTTGTGAGGCTTAAATGAAATACATTTGAAGATGTTTTGTAAACTCTGAAATGCTATACAATCATCATCACAATAAGAGTTTACTGTGAGCCGGGCACGGTAAAAAGTATATTAAATGCAAACTCTCATATAAGGTGAGGAAAGGGGCACAGAAACGTTAGCTAACTTGCCCCAAATCACAAAGTGGGACTGAACCCAGTTCTGCCTGACCCCAAAAGCTGAGCTCTTAACTGCTCTACCACCTTTGAAAAGATGAATAAAGTTGCTCAATCACTCCACCTTGCAAGTGGACTGATGTTGCTTCCTGTACCTCCCATGTACAACTAAGGGCTTGAGCAAACTTCTGCCACATTCACTCTTGGAGTTTTGAATTTCTGCAGCAGCCTCCTGGTCACGTGTTGCCCCTATATACAGACTTCATTCTAGAAATGGCTAATAATGTATACTAAGACAACAGAACGCAACATAAAGTAGAAAAAGAATCTGCTGTTATGTCTATTATACAATACATGCTTCCTAAATGAGCATAACCCTTTCTTTCCTCCACAGAATCACTGTGAAGGAAGGGGAAAGGCAAGCTGTGTATGGGTGTCACTCTCACCACACCCCAACCAGCACAGGTAACCAGACGAACCTTCTGTTTCCAGGGCTCCCAGGGTTGCTAGTCTTGCAGCTTTCAATCCAAATCCCAAGTAACTGTAAAATACAGGATTGACTAATTTCATGCTGGTCCTGAAGTTCTCCAGCCTAAAGCTATCTCTTTCAAAAGCAGTATGGTTTCTCTGTCTCCCACTGGAGAGGGGAAAACCTTGTTCTCTGTGACCTCTTCATCTCGTGTGGACAAGTGGTAATTTCTGCACAGTTCAGATCAAGGCCATCCAGAACTTTCCATGCCTATGATTTAAAGGCCAGAACCAGTGACACTTTCTAGGATCCCACCTTGGGAACCATGCCCAGAAAAGCTCTCATTACTTTAGCTTCCAGGCCCACTGTGATCAAATCCAAGGATGGATTCTGAACATCTGAAAGCAAACTAAAAAGGAGTTGGCAGAGATCTTTGGCTGAAGATTCTCCAAGTGTCCTCTAGCTAGAGAAAACTTTTTTTTAAGTTTATTTATTTGTTTATTTGGGGGAAGAGAGAGAGAGTGAGGGGGGGAGAGAGAGACAGAGAATGAGTGGGCAGGAGCAACAGAGGGAGAGGGAGAAGCAGACTCCCCGCTGAGCAGGGAGCCTGCCTGGGGCTCAATCCCAGGCCCCTGGGATCATGACCTGAGCCGAAGACAGACACTTAACTGACTGAGCCACCCAGGCGCCCCTCTCTAGAGAAAACTTTTGACCCTTTAAGTTCTATACTTTTGAGGCCATGAATGGAGAAACCCCTTGGGTCCTTGGGCTTTGGTAAGTGGCTTTGGTTTCAGTCACCAGACCTTTGGGGGTTGGCAGAGACTTTGTAAGGCTAGTCAGATACAATAACAGATGTGAAAATGCTTTGAAAAGTTAGGAGAATCATGCAACAAGAAATATTATTCCTCCCTGTCCCCCTCCTCACCTATGTGTATAGAGCTTGTAAGTGCTGTTAAACATCTCAAATGAAGTGAGGTAGCCCTGAGGTGTTTGTTCCAGGGTTTTCTGCAAATCAGAAAGAGCAAAAAGACTATTCAGGATCTGCAACTGTCTGGAGGTGTTACCACCACCATCCCTGTCCCTCCCCCAAAAAATCAGAGATGAAAGAGACAGACTAAGCTGCTGATCTCACAAAGCTGGAGGAATCAAAGGGACTCTGAGCAGTGGGGGGGCCAGGGGAAGCACACCCAGTCATTAACTGACTCCACTCAACCTATTTGTGGTGGAGCTACTGTCTGAAAATGGGGACCCACTTTCTTGGCACCATGATATGCCTGCCAAGTGGGCTGCTAACCAGCCTTCGTGTAAATAACTCACCTCAAACTGGGGTAGGAACGTAATTTGGGTGGAGGCCCCCCCCAGGTCCAGGGTCCCCACAGTCTCCTGGCTGTGGCCATGCAGCTGACCTGTGAATGAGAGCCAGCTCTGAATATCTTCTGCTTCCAGGACAGCCCAACACTCCTCTGTCTGCAATCTCTCTCCTGCTCTTGTTGTATACTGCAGGTGTTCCATTAACACTCCACTGCTCCCCAGCCCAGGAGGCTGTACGTGAGTGCTAACCTATAGGGACTCTTGGGGCAGCTAAGGTCTTGAAGATAGGGTATAAACATTAACTTCCTATCTTTTCCTTCCCTTTTTTTTAAACACAGTACAAGCAAAAGGGTTATTTACTCTTCGACCCTGTATGAAACCCAGTTTGTCTTAGAATAAGCTTGAGAATGTATTACCTGTCAGAAAATTCACAGTAACCCAAGCTAAGATGCCTGAAAGAGAGAGAAAAACAGGGATTACATCTCAGAGCATTTTCCCCTGATCTTCCTTGACCTTATTTTTGGTCTTTTTCTCTAAAATTTTGTGTCTACAGGCGCCTGGGTGGCTTAGTCGTTAAGCGTTTGCCTTCGGCTCAGGTCGTGATCTCAGGGTCCTGGGATCGAGCCCCACGTTGGGTTCCCTGCTCTGTGGGGAGCCTGCTTTTCCCTCCCCCACTCCCCCTGCTTGTGTTCCCTCTCTCACTGTCTCTCTGTCAAATAAATAAAATCTTTAAAAATAAATAAATAAAAATAAAAATAAAATTTTGTATCTAAAACACACATTTTCCTTCTCCCTCTCCTTCCATTTTCTCTTAGCCCATCCCTCCTGGCTTATTTGCTTCTCCTTATTTAGTTCCTTTTACTTCAGCACCCCATCCCTGTTCCCAGTTCTTTTATTTTTTATTTTAAAGGCACCGCTTTATTTTTTTTTTTAAGATTTTTAAAAATTTATTTATTTGACAAAGAGAGACACAGCAAGAGAGGGAACACAACAGGGGGAGTGGGAGAGGGAGAAGCAGGCTTCCCGCGGAGCAGGGAACCCGATGCGGGGCTTGATCCCAGGACCCTGGGATCATGACCCAATCTGAAGGCAGACGCTTAATGACTGAGCCACCCAGGCGCCCCTGTTCCCAGTTCTTTTAATCAAATCTTTTATTAACCCTGGCCCTCTCCCCTCAGAACATGTATTAACACCTCTCCTACCTTCATAGGATCCGTCCATGATGCTAACACTGTCATCTGGTACCAGGAAAGGTGATTTCTTGAAGATTTCTCTTACCTAAAGAAAAAGGGGAAAAGTCTGGATTCCCTAAGGCAATAAAGAAGATTTCCGTATTTTGGCTATATCTTATTAAGGCTTAGAAAACTACACTCTTCATTTCCCTAGATAAAATTTTGGCAGAACATTCCTTTTCCCTAAAAAACTAGAGAAGGAATTCACAAGCCATTACTGGTTTCTTGTAAAAACAAAACACAGGGATTCCTCTGACTTTAAAATAAATCTCAACCAAACTATTGAAATTTATAGGTGAACTGGACCTAGGAAAGAGCATACATTTGAACCCTTCCAGCTCAAATCAGGATCCTGTAATTGTTACTGGGCAGCTCCTGAGGCTATAGAAACATTTCTTCTACTCTCACACCAAATTCTGCAGGTCTTTGCCCTTGCTTATAAATGGGGCTCATGTCTGTAGGCTGGGGTACTCTGCTGTCAGCCCCCGTTAGATTCAAGCACATGGCTGAGGCCTCATGAGTCCACAGAGACCCCAGATCTAGATTTATTTATCCTATTTTAGGAGATGGGAATGAACATCTCACACATCCTTGACTCTCCATGAATATAGGTCAGTGACATGGGTGTTATGTCTTATTTTTTAATATGATTATCATGAGGCAAGGGGGAGACTTTCCAAACAGGAATAGAAGGAACTCTGGTCTGCTGGTTGTTCTCATTCCTGACAGGATGAAACACTTCATGTGATGACCTCTGGACTCTGTTTCATCCAGGAAAAGCCAGTTAAGTGATCTATGAGTTAGTTTTTAAAGAGAAGACAGATAAGCAAACAGGAATAAACACAAAGAGTTTCTGCTCTTGCCTTCTCCATTCTTCTCCCCTGCCCACAGTTTATTCTTAATACAGCAACCAGAGTGGTGCTTCTTTCTTTTTTTTTTTTTTAAAGATTTTTATTTATTTATTTTAGAGAGTGAGTGTGTCCACGTGTTGGTGGGGGAAAGAGAGAGGGAGAGAATCTCAAGCTGACTCCCTACTGAGCACAAAATCCAAAGCTAGCTCAACCCCACAACCCTGAGATCATGATCTGAGCCATGCGGTCGGATGCCCAACCAACTGAACGCCCCAGGCACCTGCCCCTTTTTTTAGTTAAGTAGGCTCCACAGCCAGCATGGAGCCTAAAGCAGGTCTTAAACTCACAACCCTGAGATCAAGACCTGAGCTAATAGTTGGACACCTAACCAACTGAGCCATCCAGGCACCCCCAGAGTGGTGCTTTTAAAACAGATGTCAGATCCTGCCTCTCAGCTCAAGACCCTCCAGTGACTTCCTTCTTAGAGAAAAAGCTAAAGTCCTTACACTTGCCTTAAGGCCCTACATGATAAACCCCTCACATCTCTCTGACCTCATCTCCTACTTCCCTTCCATCACTTACTTGCCCTCCAGCTGCACTGACCTCCTGGATACTGTTCCTTGAACATGGCAAGCACATTTCATGCTCTAGGCCTTTGTACCTGCTATTTCTTTTGCGTGGAATATTCTTCCTATAAATGTCTTGTATAGCTTGCTTCTTTATTCCTTTCAGGCCTCTGATCAAATGCATCTAATCAATGAGGTCTTCCCTGACCATCCTATTTAAAGCAGTATCCCTCCACACCACCACCAGCATTCCCTAGCTGACTTCCTCTGCTTTTCTTTCTCCAACTCATCTACAGTACCTGACATACTTTGTGGTGAGTTGTCTAGTTTTCTGTCCGCTTGCAACTAGAATGCAAGCTCTACCATGACACAGACTGTCATTTTTTTGCTCCCTGCAGCATGTCCCCCAGAACTTCACCAGTGCCCAGTACATAGTAAGCACTCATATGCTGAATAAATGAATAAATGAATGAGGAATCAGGATTCAGATTCTCATGCAGACATGCTAGGCAGCTTGTTCTTGGAGAAGGGACTAAGGCCCTCTGTGCTGATAGTCAAAGGAAAATGGATTTGGGGCTCTGAATTAGCACACTTATAATACAGAATCATTTTTTGCTGTGATTTTTTTAAAAAGATTTTATTTATTTACTTGAGAGAGAGCACGCACACATGGGTGGGGCAAAGAAGGAGGGAGAAGGAGGGGGAAAGAGTCTCGAGCAGACTCCTTGCTGAGCGCAGAGCCCCACTCGGGACTCGATCCTATGACCCTGAGATCATGACCTGAGCCAAAACCAAGAGTTGGACTCTCAACCAACTGAGCCACCCAGGCGCCCCAACTGTGATTTTTGTTATAATGGGATCCCACCTATAAATATTCTTCATAATGTAATTTAAATCTTATTCGTTTACATGCTTTTGCAAAATAAATGTTCAGTAATGGTAACAATTTTGAGTTTAAAAAAGCTTCCTAAATTTTTTATCTGAACAAGAAGTTGAAATGGACATACAAATGACCAACAGACACATGACAAGATGCTCAACAATCATCATCAGGGAAATGCAAATCAAAACTACAATGAGATATAATCAAAAACACAAGAAACAACAAGTGTTGGGGAGGATGTTAAAGAAAAGGGGGGGAATCCTCATGCACTGCTGGTGGGAACGAAAACTGGTGCAGCCACTGTGGAAAACAGTATGGGGGTTCCTCAAAAAGTTAAAAATAGAACTACCCTACAATCCAGTAATTGCACTACTGGGTATCTATCCAAAAAATGCAAAAAACACTGATTAAAAGGGATACATACACCCCTATGTTTATTGTAACATTATCTACAATAGCCAAACTATGGAAGTAGCCCAAGTGTCCTTCAACAGATGAATGGATAAAGAAGATATGGTATATATAAACGATGGAATATTACTCAGCCATAAAGAATAAAATTTTGCCATTTGCAACAACATGGATGGAGTTAGAGAGTATAATGCTAAGCATAGTAAGTCAGAGAAAGACATACCATACAATCTCACTCATATGTGGAATTTAAGAAATAAAACAGAGACAAACAAAAAAAAAAGAGATTCTTTAACTATAAAGAACAAACTGATGGTTACCAGAGGGGAGGTGAGGGGGCATGGGTATTTAGAGTGCACTTATCATGATGAGCCCTGAGTAATGTTCAGAACTGCTGAATCACTAATACTGTACACCTGAAACTAGTATAACACTGTATGTTAACTATGCCGGGATTAAAATAAAAAATTTAATTAAAAAAATACTTTATGCTGAGAGAAAAAAAGTCAGATGTAAAAAAAAAGAACATAAACTGTGTAATTACATTTATATGAAACGTAAGAACAAGCAAAACTAATCTACAATGGTAGAAAGCAGATCAGTGGTTGCCTAACTTCAGGGGAGGGGGGTACTGACTGCAAAGGGGTACAAGGAAACTTCTGTATTTGTCAAAATTCATTTAACTGTACACTTAAAATGCACACATTTTAAGTTCTACCTCAATAAAGTGGGCTAAACATAATTTCTGTGATTATGCTTTAACAAATTAGGAGAATTAAGAACCCCATGGACAGAAAGTACTTTAAACTTCTTTAGGAAAAGCTGTATAAATTCAAGAGTAACATTTAAAAATGTAAGTAAGTAGCTAGAATAAGTGCCCAGTTACCCCAGTGCTTTAGCAATGGTGGAATACTAAAGGTAGCAGTCACACACCAGAGAGCTAAAAACCCACGAAGAAAATATTCACATAGGGATAAGGAATCATCCAAGATGCAAAGGACTTCAAAAATTACCTCAAAGAGCAGAGCCTGGGCTTTCTGTTCTGGCAGTAAGCGCAGTCCCGCTGTTGCCTTCAGGACCACTGGGGTTCTCTTCCAGTGACTTCGGGGGATTGAGTCTTTTGCCACCTCTAAGAGTCCTTGAACAGTCTCAGCACCCTTCAAAAAAGATGACCTACTCATCCAGTGAAAAGTCATTTAGGGGCACTCGTCTCTTCCCTCAACATGTTCCGGGGGATATTAAGAGTGAGGCAGTAGAGGGCTCCAAGCACATTCTGCTCTGTAGAAGAAACCCAGAGAAGTAGGCTTCTTTGAAGGAAAATCCATTTAATTTTGATTAATAACAAAAATGATTCTGTCATAGCATGGTCATTTTAACTGACTGTTATTTTGTGCCTCATAAATTAGCTTTAGGCCAGAAAGTTGGGTACAGTGAAGAAAACACTGGATGTGGAGTTAGAAAAGACTTGCTTGCTAGCCCTGTGGCTTAACAGAGGGGCTTGGTTTCCTCCTTATATATATATATACATATACATGATATGTATACATGATATACATATATATATATATATACACATGAGGGAGATACACCTCATACCACTACAAAACTGCCGAGTGCATTAGGTGAGACAGAGTGTGTATACTTGCCACACAAATGCTGGTGTAGCTGTTGTGCTACGATTTTTATGATCTCTGTAAGGACAGAACATGTCAGGTTCATATTTGCATCACCAGCACCTACACACACAGTACACAGTAGATACTAAATTTATGAAACTAAAAACCATTATTTTAAATCCACTGTTTCCCTGAGTGAACATCTTATCTGACAACACGCTGCCTCTAAATTATTATAATTATTAGCTACCACAACACAATCTTCTCTACATGTCAAATCAGTTTCTGATAATGTAGTTGCTCTCAACAGCTCCTAATTTTCTCATGTATTTACCATTTCACAACAGTGAGCTGAGAAAATAAACATCTTCTCAGTTCTTCAAGTTTAAGCCATTTTTTTCTTAGGTTATATTTTTAAGTAATCTTTATACAGAACATGGGGCTTGAACCCACAACCCTGAGATCAAGAGTTGCATGTTCTACCGGCTGAGCCAGCCAGGTGCCCCAGGACATTCCCCCCCCCCCCCGCCCAAGTTATTTTTAATATAAGGTTTTCCTTTGGTTAATGATTATGCTTGTAACACGGAACAATACCTTTAAATTTGCTACCAAAGTTCAATATTCTGGTCTCTGACATACTGGGTGTAGCACATTATGGGTGCTCAAATGTGAAATATAGTCACAACAAAACTCTTCATTCATCCTCTAATAACCAAAGATTTTTGTTTTCATAAGTTCTTGCCTAATTTCTAGAGTATAGGCATGCACGGTCTGTCCTAGATCAGGGTACTTTAAAATGAAGCTCATCGGGTCTACATGGCCTCAACTGCCATGTTTATACCTCACACTCTATAGAACTCCATGTCCATCTTCTGTATCTACATTAATCAATGCAGTTGACAGCTTCAACTCAAAATCTTAAACAGTAAATACAAAAGGAACAATCTCTTAAAAGATGGTGTCATCCCTGCATGTCCACAATCTATTCTAACTTCCTTCTGCCCAAGTCCTAGTGAGCCTGGGGTGTATAATTTCTGTAATCCAGTACAGCTGAGGACAGAAAACTGATCTTACACATGGCCTCAATATCACTAGTGAACAGCATGAGATATTTAACAGCGGCTGTGTGGTAAAATTATCAAAGCACTAAGAATCTAAACATCTAATTGTAAAAACTCACCTGCTTAGGTTGATCTACAAAAGCAGAAAGTCCTGGCTTCACAGATTCAAAAATTTCCCCTTCCAGAATTGGAAGCTGTCCTATTTTGTCCGTGGAACAAAACAGAAGAGATGGCTAATTACCAAAAGTTAGGCTGCTTTGGATAGTGGGCTCTGTATCATATGACCCACTAGATCAACCTGCTATTCCTCCAAGCCATCCTAAGTAATCCCACCTGTGAGGAGTGGCTTGCAGGAGTACTGGGTAGGGGGACAGAAGACCATGGGCAATTCTTGAGAGTCCCTCTGGCATTTCTCAGGGTGGATACCTAGCTCCTACTGCTGACCCTAGGCTCTAAATGTAACTTGAGAACACTGGAAATTCAGAAAAAGTTAATCTTCAAGGTCCCTTCATCTCCTTCTCCAAGGATGGCAATGTTCCTCTCTCATGACCACTTCCAATATTCTCAATATTCTGGACCCTGGAACATCAACTAACTTTAGAGAAAAGGACAAATTACAGCTATACTTCTTGGACATATGGGTTTCAGACTACAGGCAACCCAGATCTAATTTCACATTGAATTAAACCATATGTTCAATTATAGCCCAAAATCTTCTCTGAGGAAAGACATTCAGTAGCTGTAAATTACCATAATTCATATCGCATTCTCTCAGCACATTTGTTTCTGGAAGGAGATGCTGAACTGTGGATTAATAGGCACTGGTGAGGGTACCAGCTACACTTACCCGGTATTTTCTGCACAAAGGTGTAAACATGAATTCGTGTTCCAGTGCTCCCTGCATCGAACATAATTCCATACAATGTGCTGGCACTGACATTGATGGGGCACATGGAAGACAGGAAGACACCCTCAAACCAAGTCTGCTGGTCTCTGTGGAAGACAGTGCTACAAACACAGGAGGCCACCAGCATGAAAAAGGCTGCCCCCCAGGTAGTGGCCATTCTCTTCCCAAGGTGTGGTGAGTCTAGGCTTTTGCTGCAGAAGCAGTGCTGTTCATACACCTGCAGTGGCTTATAGGACAAAGAAACACATGGTTAGACCAACTGGTCTTTTGTTTATACCTGTAAAGGAAGAAACACCTACTATAGAAATCCCAGCCCTTCCCCCAAGGTGCTCCTTCTCTATTTTTCCTAGCCAGCGTAACAAGCTAGACCAGGGTAACACAGGCTCCTAGCACCTTTTACTGAAGAGTATCTTGTTGCAAAAGGAAAATGGGATTTAAAATATATTTCCCCCTTCTCTGCTTTCAGTTGTACGGTGGATCTCTCATACTCAAGGCCTTCTCTGCCACCCTGCTCTTATTGTTGAGTCTAACTGACTTCTTTTCTATTTTGACAATTTTGTCTTTAGATCATATACTAACCTTCTCTCCCTCCCTCTTTCCCTCTCTTTTGTCTTTTCTGGCTGATATAAGATGTTTCAATTTCTGAATTAAAGTCAAAAGTTACAAAGAAGTTATAACGTCACTAGCATTAGGGTATCTGCAGCCTTCAAAACTCAGGCTATTGGACTGCTACCTGTGACCACTAATATTGCCAGTGGCTTGTACATACAATCACATTTTAGGGAAATCAGCTTAACTTAAAAACACTTAAACAGACCATTGCAGGATTTTTGTTGTTTTGTTTGTTTGTTTATTTATTTAAGTAATCTCTACACTGAACATGGTGTTTGAACTCACAACCCACAGATCAAGAGTCGCATGCTCCTCCAACTGAGCCAGCCAGGCTCCCGGACCATTATGGTTTTAAAAAACATCCTTCACAGGTTTCAGGCCATGTTATCCCCGTAAAGAACTTAAGACAGATGGGGGCACCTGGCTGGCTCAGTCAGTTAAGCATCCGACTCTTGATTTCAGCTCAGGTCATGATCTCAGGGTTGTGAGACTGGGCCCAGCATCAGGCCCCACGTCTGGTGTGGAGCCTGCTTGGGATTCTTTCTCCCTCCCCCTGTACTCCCTCTCTAAAAAAAAAAAAAAAAAAAAAAAAAAAAGGATGCCTAGGTGGTTCAGTTGGTTAAGTGTCTGCCTTTGGCTCAGGTCACGATCCCAGGGTTCTGGGATCAAGTCCCGCATCGGGCTCCTTGCTCAGCAGGAGCCTCCTTCTCCCTCTGCCTGCAGCTCCCCCTGCTTGTGCTCTCTCTCTATATGTCTGACAAATAAATAAGATCTTTAAAAAAAAAAAAAAAAGACAAAAACAACCACCACCACCACCCAAAAAAACACGTAAGGCAGATGGGCAAATTAAGCCAGAGAGGTTCACTGACTTGCTGAAAGTCATAATGCAAGTCAATGGTGAAATCTTGATTAGAAATCAGTCTTCAGTCTTGCCAACCTTTCTTTTTTCTGATTCCAAAAGCCTCCCTTATGGCAAGTTACTGCCTATATTTCTTTTGTCTTAGCAAAGACAAAAATCTTAGCACTAGTGCTCAGTTTTATTTTAGATCTGTGTATTATCGTTTGGATAAAAATGATGCTGAAGACCTAGAGTAGGGTTACATGAAAAAATGTCTCCTGGATCAGCTATATTGTCTTTGCTCTCGGCTTCATTTTCTCCCGGTATTCATAAAGAATGCCATGACAATCCTCTAACATTTAAGGCTTCCTTAATTGCCCTTTATGTACTTTGCTCAAAACAGTTTTGAGTGTCCTATTCCAGCTTTCATCTCTGGACTTCTCCCTATGTAAGTAGCTGGTTAATCAAGATCTAATTCCAAAGTTCCCATTGTCCAGTCCCTTTATTTCTAACAGAATAACTGAGTATATCTGGAGTATAGATTGAGGATTCTCAGTCATTCTCAAGTTTGTTGACCTCCTAGGGTTCATTTTATCAAAATGTCTCTCTTCCCAAAGGTGACATTTTATATAAAATAATGTAAATTGAAGTTAACTGCATTTGGAGTTTGAACTATTTAAAATAACCACAGTAGTTCTGAGGTACTGAAAGGCAGAGTTAGAATTAGCAGTTTGAAGACAATTCAAGGCTGTACTTCTACTTGATAGTTAAGAATAAAGGTTTTGGCTAGGGAGAAAAAACAACCAAAAACCTTTTAAGAGTCTCAAAGGAAACTTTATCCCAGGTAAACAACACTGAAATACGGCAACTGCTTGGCCAGATTCACACTCACATCTTAAATCACTCCCTTTGGCAGATTCTCTTACAGCAAACAGGCTAGTCATGTAGATCAATCTAAATAACTGAAAACAAAAACAACCCTTTCAGATTCTCTGCGTATTAATGGACCCTTGCCTTGTCCATTATCCAACTCTTGGTCCCTTTTCTCCCACGGGAAGAACACTTAGGGGCTTTCCAGTCACCAGCCTTCCTCTACCTCTGTGACTAATTCCACAGAAGCTTCTCAGGGCTCACTCATATTTTCTCTATTATTGTGGTTTCTGAAAAACCTCTCCAGCTTCCATTTCCATTAAGCAAACATTTGTTTTCATTTCAAAAGAGATTTCAAGGGGAAAAAAATGCATGCTAGGTATCTGTTTTCATGGCGTGAAAAAGTGCAGAGTCATACCAGGTGCTCAGTGTAAATAAACAGTAGATTCTAGAGAAAGCAAAGGATGAAAACATCCAATAACCCCTTCTGCTTTCAATCCCTACCTTCTAACACCATTTCCAATCTCATTTTTCTTTAAGATTCGCTAAGAATGATACTAGAAAGGCTTACAATTTAGAGTATATAGAACAGCATCCTTTTTCATGTGACCCCAGCCTGCAAAGCTTGCTCACTTTGTTAGTCTTTGCTCAAATGTTTTCTTGAGACTTTCCCTGTCTATCCTATTTAAAACTGCAACCCACCTGGCCACATGCGCATCTTCTACCTTCCTTCCCTGTTTTTTTTTTTTTTTTAAAGATTTTATTTATTTATTTGACAGAGTGAGAGAGCACAAGCAAGGGGAACAGCAGAGGGATAGGGAGAAGCAGACTCCCCGCGAAGCAGGGAGCCCAATGCGGGGCTCGATCCCAGGACCCTGGGATTATGACCTGAGCCAAAGGCAGGCGCTTAACCACCTGAGCCACCCAGGCACCCCCCTGTTTATTTTTTTCCATAGGACTTTCCATCTTCTGTATAATTTATTACTTCAGTGTTTTTGTTTTTTTGTTTCAGATTCCCTGCTCCCTGCCATCCTCATGTGAGCTATCTATGGGTGGGAATTTTTGTTTGTTGTATACACTGATGTGTTCCTGGCATTGGAACAGTGCTAGCACACAGTAGGTGTTGAATACTCTGAAAGGATGAACAGTGATCCAGTAACTCGGGCACTGGATCCTATCCATTTTTTTTTTTTTAAAGATTTTATTTATTTGAGAGAGAGAGAGAAAGCACAAGAGGGGGGAGGGTCAGAGGGAGAAGCAGACTCCCTGCTAAGCAGGGAGCCCGATGTGGGACTCAATCCCGAGACTCCAGGATCATGACGTGAGCCAAAGGCAGTCGCTTAACCAACTGAGCCAACCCAGGCGCCCTGGATCCTATCCATTTAACAAGAATATGATAGCTGACTTCTTTCCAACAGGAGATTAATTACCTACCCATTGGAAGATCACGATTCCAAACTTCCAAGGCAGGATTGTTTCTCCAATGTGTCAATTATGTGTTTCATATGCTACTCAAAATAATGCAGCTAGTCAAGTTTACTTTCTGTAGACTGGGGAGTATACACATCAGTATACTGAAATTCACTCCTTTCAGAACTGGTCTTCTCAACATCTCTTGCTCACTTTTGCCTATTCACCCCAACAAAGCTCTTCAATTTTTTTGAGACCTTGGTGCCAGCTAGTGTTTGTCACTGTTCTCATTTCCTTCTAAGGTCTTTTCAATATATCTTTGTCTCTATAGTAAACACTAATACTCCCTAGGCAGCCTCCCTAGAGCTTCACACTCCAGATTCCCTTCTTCCATGTCACCCAGAGACAGACCACAATCCCACAGAACCTGGGCCCCATTTGGGTGCTCACCTGCTCATGTCTGCCTGTTCCCCATGAATCCTTGCTGTCACTGTTAGGTGCCTTTTGCTCTTTGCTCCTATTTCAGCCGTTCTGAATCAAGCTAGCTTCATGAACCACATTCACCTTTGTGCTCATTTGTAACTAACTACGTGGCATTTTGTTAACTCATTCTCTTCTTGACCCTTCACTCCTCCCTTAGCCACTTTTTTTTTCTGGGTACACATGACTGTCTGGTTCATCTACTTTTATGATAGTTAAGTGCCAACTAGTAGCATTATTGCTTGTAGGGCCGAAGTTGCCCAGGAAGTGAATTCTGTGTTTTTACACAGGACACTGATAACCTACCGTTTTTATATTATTAAATAATGTTATATTTACAATTATTAAATATGTAACTATGTAATAATGTTATTAATTCCTTACTATTTCATGTTTTTACAACCTTAGCCCAAGAGTAGGAAAGTTAATTGCACTCCTTGATGGCTTCTATCCTTGTGATGAATTTAGAAAGTTGGGTATTAAATTGTCTAATTAACAAGCATTTACTGAATGTCTTGAATTGTACACCAGACACTGTTAGTTTCTAGATACAAAAGAGGAATCAGATACAGGTCCAGCTCTTGGGGCTTCAGCTTACTAGAAGAAACAGACAAGTAAACCAACAGCTATAATGTACATACTGCGGTAAGTTCTCTTATGCGAATATGCAGAATATTATAGGAATGAACCTAAGAGGAAACTAACTCATCTCAGAAGGGGAAGCATGGAGGTGGGAAGGGAGAGGGAGGCTCCTTAAGGGATAAGAGGCCTAAGCTGGGTCCTAAATCAGAGGTAGGAATTAACCTGGTGAAGTGACACAAGGAAAACCCTGAGAACTTTGAGTATCAAATAGATGGAGTATAGAGAACCAGAATAGAGCACAAGTGTGAGAAAGGACCTGTAGGTACTGAATCAGATTTCAAAAAGAGTGGACTTGTTTTCATTAAACGGTTCCATGGTGACACCTGTTATTTAAATTTTTCTATTCCCTCCCAAAACAAATATTAGTATCGACT